CTTTTTTATGTATATATATATATATATATATATATATATATATATGAAGCATTCTTTACTCCTCTAACTTTACTTAATCTAAAAATTTTGTAAAAAAAAATTGCAACGGTCAGTTTATAAAAAAATTTAAGATAATGGATGTGTTTAAAAATCCGGATCGGACCGGCCGGTCGGACTGGTTGAATCGGAAACTGGTGGTCCAGCCAGTTCGAATCCTAAGTTGAATCAGTTATGCATTTGACCTGTGTTTAAACCGGATTGAACCGATCAATTTTCCGGTTTGACCAGTGAACTGGTGGGTCAAAGTAGTTCAACCACAAATTTTTTTAAAATTTTTTTTTTTAAAGGACCACAAACCACAAAAATAACAATGAGAATTGAATTTGTTAATGGAAGAGCAAAGAGTCTTATTAAGCATATGAATAACTACTTATTCTAATATATTTGTCTATAATATATACAACTTAAATAATTTTTATAATATATTATTAATTATAAATTATATATTTAATAATATAATATCTATGTAGATATTACATATATTATTTTGTAATATCAATTGTAAGCATATTATATATATATATATATATATTATTTATATTTTTAATTTTTATTAATATACAGTTTAACATGTAATTTTTTTATGTATTTCTTTATACAAAATAAAAATAAAGATAATTTTAAATAAGATGAAAACTAAAATTTAAAATAGGATATGAATTTATTAAAATTTATAAGTATAAAATATATTTAACATGAATATTTTAAAAAAAATTAATAAAAATCGAGTCATGCGGTTCAATTAGTGGCCCACCGGTTCAACCTTTGACCCACTGATCCAATATCCTAACCAGTTTGATGCTGGTCCGGTTTTTAAAAACTATGTTTACAATACGATTCTCATTGTAATATTTTTTTTCTTATAAAAAAAGTTACGCTATTACTACTATGATTTTATTTCCTGTTTCTAAATATTTGTGTAATATTTTTTAATTTCAGTTTTATTTTCATTATTATTTATAAAATAAAAATGTAGGACAATTTTTTTTATAAGTTCATAAAAAACAATAAAAAGTAAAACGTGGTCTTGTAATTTATTTAATAACAGGCCTAGCGACGGAACCCCCTTTACTTTCTTAGCATAGCAGCCGCGTCCTTATTTATTTGTTCTATAAATAGGAAAGCATATGACAGAAGAGAGATGTGAGGAAACAAGGTGTGTTTTGTGTATATCTTGTTTGAGAGTTGATATTTCAAATATATAATGGGGCATTTGGGTCAGAAAAGTTTGAATTATGTGCTTGAAAATGGAGTGAGTGTGTGTTGTGATGAAGAGTGTTTTGAGAAAGACACCATTCCGGCGTCCATTCAGTGTGCTGTCCAAGTCCTGCTCATGGGTCTTGGTGAAGATATCAATAGGGAAGGCATTATAAAGACACCACATCGTGTTGCCAAGGCCCTTCATGAAGGAACTATAGGTCACTATCCTCCTTCATTATTTCTTTTTTCTGCTCACGGCTTCTCTTCATTTACTGTAACACAAACTAATCTTGTTTTCATATTTTGACTGCTATGATGCACTGATACGATACGCGTATCGGATACGACACGTATCTGATACGGCGATACGATTATTTAAAAATATATAGGATACGATACTCGTAAGATACGTGTTCATCAAAGACTAATAATTCTATGTTTCTATATTAAACATGTTTATATATCTTATTTAGTTGTAATGGATATTTCATAATTTTTCAAAAATTTGAACACTTTATTGATACGTATTACTAATAAGTATCGGTGAAGAATCTGTAAGTATCAAAATTGAATAAAAATTTTATAATATTTTAAAAGTTTAAGATACTTCATTGACGCGTATCGGTGAAGTATCCAAGAGTATCGTGTCGGATACGGATACGTGAAGCAAATTGAAGTATCCGTGCTTCATAGTTTAACTGTCATTGATGCCAACGAGTTTTGTTAATAATATTAAATTAATATTCACTAATATAAGTGATTGCTGTTCATGTCCTTTAATCAACATATCTAAGATTTAAACTTTTATCTTGTGTATGAAATAAAACATATTTGTGTGAATTTGATATCAAATTTTAATTAAATAATTTTAAATTTCATGAGTACTTATTATTTTTCTCTATCTGTTTCTCTTTTCTATCATGTTATGTATATCATTTATCATACATACGTTTTTCTCTCTCTTCTTTTCCTGCCTCTCACTAGGTGCCTGGCTAATAGCATTTCGGATGTCCAAAATTATTTATTTTAAAAATCCTCATGCATGTATCATTCGTGTTTTTGTTAAGACAAATCTAGAAGGATTTATAGCAGTTGAGCAACTTCTTGAAATGTTCCTTTTTAAATATTGTCAAATAGTTGAATTATGATTTTCATCGTTAGAGATTTCATTCGTTCTTCCTGTCCCAGGTTACTACACAGGTCAATGCACTTTTTTCTTCTAAGGGACCTTTTAGATACGAAATTATTGATCAACTTCAGTTAACAATCAAAACAAGTTGACACTCATTTTAATTTTTAAGATAGTATGTATTGTTTCATTTTATGCTAATTCTTTTGTGTCTGAAAAATTTATTCGTATCAATTAACATTTATGAAAAACGAAGTTAAAAAGGACTAAAATATATAAATGACATTTTTCAAATTTAAGGACCTAATTTTTTTTTTGTAAAATCAGATACTAAAAAGGATCCGTATAAATCTAACTAAAAACGATGGTTTTCGCAATATAAAACTTTTCAATTATTAATACTTGACAGGGTCATGGCCTCTATGACTAAGTCGTTAATTAAGAATCGATCCTTGTTGTACATAGTTTTTTTAAATACAAAATTTGATTTTAATATGCAAGAAATGAAGTACAGCTTTAGGTCAATTTTCAAAGAGTTATTATATATGGATCGAGATGGATATTGCCTTCAAGCATTTTGTAAAATATAGTTATACAAGACATGATATTTAGTTTATATTGGATTTGAAATCAAAATCCCTGCACATAGATCTGGAGCCTTTTATATAGGTCCATATTTATCAGGTGTTACCCTGGATACTCGAGTTTCCCCATCTGTGGACTAGGTTCTTATCTATATGTCTGAACCCAAATATGGAATCCTGTAGATCCAAAATATAATATGTGAAATTGATTAAATAATAGAAAACAAAATCTAGTTGTGAATCAATTTAATACCTAAAATAGTTTGATTTAGAATTGATATATGCCACCTATGATGCACCGATACGATACGTGTATCGAATACGACACGTATCCGATACGGCGATACTATTATTTTAAAATATATAGGATACGATACTTGTAAGATACGTGTCATCATATATATCAATATTCATACAATATAATAATTATGTACTTGTAATTTTGATCAAAATTCATAAACATTAAATATATAATTGTTATATTGCAAATCCAAATTAAAAACATACTTATTGTACATTACTAAAAATAAATAAATTATAAATCATTTCATCATAAGTTACTTTTTATTATTTACAAATAGAAATAATATTACTAATTTCATTCCTTTCTTAAAATGATTTATATAGAAGACAATTTTCATTTACAGTTTATCAAGGACCAATATTTCTATGTTTCTATATTAAACATGTTTATATATCTTATTTAGCTGTAATGGATATTTCATAATTTTTCAAAAATCTGAATATTTTATCGATACGTATCACTAATAAGTATCGGTGAAGTATCTGAGAGTATCGGAATTAAATAAAATTTTCATAATATTTTTAAAGGCTATGATTCTTCATTGACACGTATCGGTGAAGTATCCAAGAGTATCGTGTCGAATACGTATCGGATACGGATAAGGGAAGCAAATTGAAGTATCGGTGCTTCATAGTATGCCACTAATAGCTACCAAAAATGATGATATTTTGTTAGCAATTAATCTAGAGTCTAGACATGAAGGATGTATAATTTATCCCAGGTTATGGGCTAAGTGCGAAGGAAATTGTGGAAGGTGCATTGTTCCCTGAAGCAGGGGTAGAGGGTACGAAAGTTGGTCATGCAGGTGGAGTGGGTGGACTTGTGATGGTGCGAGACCTTGATTTTTATTCGTATTGTGAGTCTTGTATGTTACCCTTTTACTTAAAGTGTCACGTGGGTTACGTCCCAAGTGGCCAAAGGGTTTTGGGCTTAAGCAAGCTCTCTCGTGTCACCAATGTCTTCGCAAAGCGTCTCCAAGAGCCTCAGCGTCTCGCAGATGAGGTGTGTTCTGCTCTGCACCAAGGGGTTCAACCCCAAGGTGTTGCTATTGTGCTTCACTGCACACACATCAACTTTCCTCACTCCAACCACAAGGGCTTGGTGGAGACTCTTGTTTCTTCTGGCTCTGGCGTTTTTCAAAACAAAGATGCTGACATGTGGGCTGATTTTTTTGGCCTTCTCAAGTTTAGGGGTGTTGACAAGGAGAAGCTTCATGCTAAGGGCACGTCGTCTTGGTGCCCTTCTTTGTCATATAAGGATTCGTCCAAGGTTGAAGAAGTGAACCCTCTCATGATCACTGCAGTGTCTTCAATTCTCAAGTCTCTAGGTGAGGATCCTTCAAGGAAGGAGCTGGTGGGGACTCCTGGGAGATTTGTGAAGTGGCTGATGAACTTCCAATGTGGTGACATTGATATGAAGAAGCTGAATGGTGATTTGGTTGTCAACAGTGCTGAGGTGAGCCTTGGTGAGAAAGAGAAAGAAATTTACTTGGAGATGAACTTGCCCTTTTGGTCACAGTGTGAGCATCATTTGCTTCCGTTCCATGGTGTTGTTCACGTAGGGTACTTTGTTTCAAAAGGGGTTGAGTTTCAGCCCATTGGGAAATCCCTTCTGCAGTCAATAGTGCATTTTTTTGGGTTTAAGCTTCAGGTTCAGGAGAGGCTCACGAAGCAGATTGCTGAAACTGTTTCTCCACTGGTGGGTGGGAATGTGATCGTCGTGGTGGAAGCTGGCCACACATGCATGATTTCTAGGGGAATTGAGAAGTTTGGAAGCAACACTGCTACCATTGCTGCGTTGGGACTCTTTGCAACTGATCTTGCTGCTAGGACCTCGTTCCTCCAGAGTATTCCAAGGGCTACCTACATCTCTTGACCATTAATCATTCGCTCTTTTCAACTCTTTCCTAGTTCTTCCTTTTTCATCATTCTATGCAATTTAACTTTAGCTTTTTCTGTAAAAAAAAACAGAGCAATATTTTACTGTCTGCCCTTTTGTTGTAATAGTCCAATACTACCCTGTGGTAGCAGGACTTTTAAATATTAAATATGAATTTTAAGTTCCTGATAGTATGTGTTTTCTTTTTAGTATAAGCTAAATATATTTACTAACTTTAGGAGTTGAATACAAGAATCGCTCAAAATTAACCATAAAATAATACAAATATATAAAGAACGTACAATAATCACATATAGTAATCCCTTTCCTTAGTAGGTTTCGGTTGGGTATTATTGTTGTTGACATAATCCAATTGGCTGACAGAGATGGAGAGGGAATTTAAAAAGTTTAAAATATAAATTTATATTAAAAATATACTATCAATCGACTAGGTTAGGTAAACACATCCTAAGAATGTGTAGGTAATTCGGCATTGTTCTAAGAATGTGTAGAAGTAAAGGCATACAAATTACATTAACATTTATAATTAAAAAAAGAGTTAATCACTTATATACTATTAGTGTAAACAAATTTTTATACTGTCAATCAATTATATCTTTTAATTATATCATGTCACTATAAATATATTTACTTTTAACAGTCACATGACAAAATTAAAAGATATAGTTGATTGCTAGTGTAAAAAAAAACTTTATACTAGCAGTATATAGGTAATTAACTCTTAAAAAAAATTATAACCTTCTATTAAAAGAGTACTGCTAAAATGCATAATAAGTAATTTAGTATACTCTACAATCTTTGGCAGAACTACAAACTCAAAATCATAATTAACTTACAACTATCTACTGTTCCACCATTGTACCTTAATTTCCGAAATAGTACCATAGTCATAGAGAAATAATTGAGGTCTAGTTCTCAGTGGTCGACGTCTAGATTCAAGACAAATTAACCTTGTATAATTGTTGTGGGTCTAAGAAAAGTTCCACTAGTGAGATTTATATCTTAGTGAGTATAAAAAAACTATATTCACTTAAGAAAGTAAGGTGATTCTCAATCATAATTTAGGAACTATTAAATTAAGAATATAGAACTATAGACTAATAAACTCAAGTACGTAGTTGTTTTGTATAAAATTTTAAGAGTCAACGGTCAGGTCTATAATTCAAAGAAAGATCAGCAGTCAATCTATGTCATTCATAAAGATAAACTTAATACTATTGTTTTCCTCTTCTTTTATCTTTGCGTATATTATCAATCAATTTGAGCTCAAAATACTTCGAGATATACTAGAAGTCATTTGTGGGAACTCCTTTGTTCCTTGATCTTATCCTACATGTGATGCCTTAAGGATCATCAAATCCTATACACGCGCCATAACCTTCCCCACTTTATCGGAGGGTATATATATCATCCATTATAATTTATAATACGATCAGTCAACTAAAATTGATGCTAGGATTATTTTATTGGAGGGTATATATCTCTTCCATTATAATTTATAATACGATCAGTCAACTAAAATTGATGTTAGGGTTATTTTATTGATTTGTTTAAAAGATGGTGAAGTCTCTGATAGTCAAGTTTAGGAAGTAGTCCATCCGTGTAGCATGTTTAGGATTTAAGATGACCGTAGATATAATATTAAAATATTGAACGGTTGAGATTATAAAGTAATGAGTAAAATTTAAGAATTGCATAGTCGTCCTTGTAATGTTTATATTTGTCCGTGTTTGATAGTTTATGAAGGGTTATGTTGTTTTTCAGGGTCGTGCATCATCAGTTGATTTGCGTTCAGGTTATTGTGGCGTTTTTGTTGTAGGAGTTCCGATTAGCAGGTGCGATAGGCGGCCCTCCTCCGCCCCCTGCATGGTCAGCGCAAACTCCTTCTTGTCGGTGACCCTAAAGTTAATCTTGTTGGCGACGGCCTCAAGCTTCCCCAGCACGGCGGAAGTAGAAAACTTGCATATAAAGACTGAGGGCGAGCGCTTCCTGGTCTCGATCAAGCTCCTGAGATCAAAACCGTGGGAGAGCGAGGAAATAATCTCAAACGCATTGTAAAAGGGCCTGGGAGGTTTAGCCTCGTGGTGGTGGTTTTCGTGGAAATCGAGGTTGTGGATGAGCACATCCTCCTTGATGGAAAACGCAATGGGGCTGATGAAACCAATTTGAAACCAAGGATCCTTGACAATATCAGGAATGGATCAGAACCTCTTAGCAGGGTCGGCAACGAGGAGGTTGGAAATGAGGGATTTGGCCTGGGGAAATCCAGGGAGGGAAAGCGTAATTAGCTTTGAAAGCCTTTCGGTAAATTCGCATGACTTTGTCGCCTTGGAAGGGTAAGTAGCCGGAGAGAAGGGCGTAGAGGATGACACCGCAGGACCAAATATCAGCCTTGGAGCCGTCGTAGCCTTTTTTTTTTCAAGACCTCGGGTGCCACGTAAGCGGGGGTCCCACAGGGGGTCAGGAGCATGCCGTCGGCGCGACGCTGGTCGGGGAGCGCCGAGAGTCCGAAGTCGGAGACTTTGAGGTCCTCGTTCTGGTCGAGGAGGAGATTCTCGGGCTTCAGGTCCTGGTGGGTGACGCCGCGGCGCTTATTAGCTGCTGGAAGTACTTCCTGGCGAGGTCTTCCGAGAGCTTTCCCTTCGCCACCTTGGAGAAGAGTTCGCCGCCTTTCACGTACTCCATCACCAGGAATATTTTGGCCTTGGTGGCCATCACCTCCTTCAGCTCCACGATGTGGGGGTGCCGCACCAGCCTCATCACCGACACCTCGAGCTTTATCTGCTTCACCAGTCGCTCTTTTTTCAGCTTCTCTTTCTTTATGACCTTTATGGCCACGCTCTCGTTGGTCTCGAGGTTTCTCCCGTGGTACACTGGCGAAGTTTCCCTGCCCCAGGTCCCGCCCCATCTCGTACTTCACCCATGCTTCCCAACAAACAACAAAACCAAAACTTCAGCCATGAACGATGTTCAACCCACCACAATTTTCTCTCTTCCGACTCCACAATCAACAAACCCTTTTCACAAGGGTTGCGGCCTGCGACAAACAAAACATGACCACCGTGCCACACTCGTACTTCACCCATGCTTCTCAACAAACTATTGCCAGAATCGTAACAAAACACCACCACTACCGGGGAAGAGTCGTACTTCACCCATACTAAACGGAATCCTAGACAATAGAAAATGTCCGTCAATAACAAATTTCAAAGGACTACTATGTAATTGTTCAAAATTAAACATTAAATTCAATCTCAACCATTTACTTTTTTTAACTTCTAATCTACGGTCATTATTAATTCACCACCCATACACCACTTGTTAAACTGGTCCGTCAGAGAATTTACCTTAAAAGATATGTATATTTATTAAGAGTTGGTTTTTCTGAAAGGATATATATATATATATATATATATATA